TCAGTAGCTCCCCTCGCGGGGGCCCTCGTGGAGGCTGACGCGGAGCACCGCGGCGCCGGGGTTGGCGGCGCGGTGCTGCTGGTAGACGTCCTGGCTCCGCCCGTCTTCGCAGCCGTGCGCAACCGTCCGTCATGGTCGTGGTCGTGGCCGCGGCAGCCGCCGTCGCGGTCGCCGTCGAGGTGGGCGCCGTCGTCGTGGTCGCCACCGCCGCTGGTGTCGACGCCGCGGTCGCAGTCGCAGTGGTGGTCGAAGGTAGAGGAGGGACAGGAGGATGAAGAAAGAGGAGGAGGTGAAGGAGACGGAAGGGGAGGGGGCCAGCCTCCTCCTCTTCTTAATATGAGTCTTATTTCTTGATATTAGTATTAGTACATTTCTTCTTAGTGCCCGTATGATTGATATTCGTATTCGTCTTCTTCTTCTTATGAGTATTATTTGTTCTAGTCTTCCTTGTATTACATTTATCCATATTACTAGTAGTATTAGTTGTCATGTGTGTGTCCCTATGTTGTTCATTATTATTATACTTGTTGTTATCATCATTGTCGTCATTCGTGTGATTACTACTATTGGTGCTTATATTCTTCTTAGGAATAGCTTTCGTCTTCTTATCATGACTATAATTCTTAGTGTTTGCCTTATTCGAAATATTTCTTCTGACGCTTATGAATAATATTACTCCGAATCGTCGACTTACGACTATGATGATTATAACTATTCCTAGTTCTCCAACTCCTCCTCTTCTTCTTCTTCCTCCTCCTCATCCTCCTAATCCTCCTCCTGCTCTTCATCCGCCTCCGGTCCCTCCTCCTCCGCCTCCTCCTCCTCCGCCTCCTCCATCTTCTCAGCCTGCCCCCCTCTTCCGCCTCCTCAATCCTCCCGCATCCATCCTCCCACTTCCCCCTATCAACCTACATCCCCTCCCACCCCTCCTCCTCTTCGGCCTCCTCCTCCTCATCCTCGTCCTCCTCCTCCTGCTCGATGGCATTAATCCGGCCCGTCGGCCCCTTCCATCGGCATCACCACTATCATCGCAAGCACCATCATCAGCATCATCATCAGCATCATCATCATCATCATCATCATCATCATCATCATCGTCATCGTCATCGTCATCGTCATCGTCATCGTCATCATCGTCATCATCATTATCATCACCATCATCATCATCATCATCGTCATCGTCATCATCAGCATCGTCTTCAGAATCCTCCTCATCATCATGAGCATCATCGGCATCATCAGCATCCCAACCATCATCATCATCATCATCAGCAGCATCACCATCATCATCACATATCATTATCATCAGCATCATCAGCAGCACCATCAGCACCAGCATCCTACTCATCATCATCATCATCATCATCATCATCATCAGCATCATCATCATCATCATCATCAGCATCAGCATCAGCACCATCATTACCATCAGTATCATCATTATCTTCAGTATCATCAGCATCATCAGCACCAAAATCCGCATCAGAATCAGCATCATCATAATCATCAGAATCATCATACTCATCAGGGTCATCCTAATCATCAGAATCACCAGCATCACCATCATCATCATCACCATCATCACCACCACCACCATCATCATCATTATCATTATCATCAGCATCGTCAGCATCATCATCATCATCATCATCATCATCATCATCATCATCATCATCATCATCATTATCACAAGCATCATCGTCAGCATCATGAGCATCATCAGCATCATCAGCAGCATAAGCATCTGCATCAGCATCATCATCATCGTCATCGCCATCGGCATCGTCATCGTCATCATCGTCATCATCTGTATCAGCACCATCATCATCATCGTCGTCGTCGCCGTCATCAGCATCAGTCAGCATCGTCAGCATCACCATCATCACCACCACCACCATCATGATCATCATCATCATCAGCATCAGCATCGTCACCATCATCATCATCACAACCATCGTCATCATCGTCATCACCATCAGCATCATCATCATCGTCAGCATCATCGTCATCATCATCATCACCAACACCATCATCATCACAACTATCATCATGATACCCTCATCTTGGGCAAAATCATAGGCATCATCATCGTCATCATCACCATCATCACCATCCTAATCAGCATCAACATCACCGCCACCGCCACCATCATCATCATCACCAGCATCAGCATAATCACCAGCAGCAACATCAGCATCATCGTAATCATCATCATCATTACAATCAGCATCATCATCGTGATCTCATCATCATCAGCATCATCAGCAGCAGCATCAGCATCAGCATCAACATTATCATCATCGTAACCGTCGTCATCATCAACGTCATCATCACCATCATCATCATCATCCTCATCAGCATCATCATCAGCATCCTCAGCAGAAGCATAAGCATGAGCATCAGCATCAGCACACCACAATCATCATCATCAGCATCAGCACCATCATCATTATCATCATCACCACCATCAGTATCATCACCATCATCATGATCACCATCATCACCAGCATCATCATCATCAACGGCATCATCATCATCATCAGCATCACCACCATCAATATCACCACCGCCATCCTCATCATCATCATCATCGTGATCAGCATCATCACCATCACCACCACCACCATCATCATTGTCATTCTCGTCATCATCATCATCATCATCATCATCATCAAAATTGTCATCATCATCATCATCATCACCATCACCATCACCATCATCATCGTCATCATCATCAGCATCGGCATCGTCAGCATCGTCATCATCATCATTATCATCACCACCACCAACATCATCACCACCATCATCATGATCACCATCATCATCATCAGCATAATCATCACCAGCATCATCACCACCATCATTAGCACCACCACCATCATCATCAGCATCATCATCAGTACCGTCATCAGCATCATCATCATCATCATCATCATCACCGCCACCATCATTATCACCACCATATCCTGATCACCATCAACACCATCGCCAATAGCATCATCACCACCACCATCATAATCACCACCACCACCATCATCATCATCATCATCATCATCAGCATCATCCTAATCATCATCAGCATCGTCATCATCGTCATCATCACCACCACCATCATCATCAGAATCAGCATCATCATCAGCATCGTCATCATCATTATCATCATAATCACCACCACAATCATTTTCACCACCATCATCATCATCAGCATCATCATCATTCATCATCGTCAGCATCATCATCGCCATCATCATCATCATCATCATCATCATCATCATCATCATCATCATCATCATCATCATTATCAGCATCATCATCATCCTCATCATCACCATCGTCATCACCATCATCATCAGCATTCATCAACATCAGAGTCAGCATCATCGTTATCATGATCATCATCATCATCATCAATATCTTCATTATCATTAGCATCATCATCAGCAGCATCAGCATCAGCATCACCATCAGCATCATCATCACCATCGTAATCCTCAGAATCATCATCACCATCATCAACGTCATCATCATCATCATCAGCATCATCAGCATCATCAGCATCAGCATCAGCATCAGCATCAGCATCATCATCATCAGCAGAATAAGCATCAGCATCAGCATCACCATCATCATCGTCATCGCCATCGTCATCGTCATCGACGTCATCACCATGATCAGTATCAGCATCATCATCATCATGATCGTCGCCGTCGCCGTCATCAGCATCGGCATCATCACCATTATCATCATCAGTATCATCATCACCACCACCATCATTGTCACTATCATCAGCATGATCACCATCATCACCATCACCAGTATCATCATCACCACCACCATCAGTATCACCACCACCATCATCATCATCACCACCACCACCATCATCATCAGTATCGTCGTCATCATCGTCATCATTATCACTACCATCATTATCACCACCTTCATCATCACCACCACCATCATCATCATCAACATCATCATCATCAGCATCATCATCATCATCAGCAGCATCATCATCGTCATCGTCATCATCGTCATCATCGTCATCATCATCATCATCGTCATCATCATCGTCATCATCGTGAACGTCATCCCTCCTCCCCTGGCCCTCTCCCCCGCCCTCCCGCGCCGCCGCTCCTCCAGATGCTCGCGCAGGAGCTGCACGGCGATGGCGTACGACCGCTCGTCTGGCGCGAGCGCGCGCGCCCCGCGCCCCTCCGCGCGCACGATCCAGGGGGCGGAAAGGCTGCGGCTGGCGGTAGACCCCGCACACTCTCGCGCGCGCTCTCGCGAGGCACGAGAAGAGAGGCGCGAAGAGCTTCCCGCTCTCGCGCCGCGAGGAGGCCCCAAGGACGAGGAGGACAAGGAGGACGAGGAGGACGAGAGGGACGAGGAGGGCGAGGAGGACGAGGACGAGGAGAACGAGAATAAGGGTTCGCGAACGGGCACATGTCCCCACCCCTGGCGGCTCCTCCGTGGGGAGCTCAAATGCAGCGCCTGCCCCATCGAGATGAGCAAGAAGCTCTGAAAAGAGAGAAGTCTGATCACCCAAACAGGCAAACCGCCAAAGACATCCCCACAGTCTGGGCGCGAACCGGCGAATGCCCCTACCCCTGGCAGCTCCCCTTTGGGGTCCTTGGGGTGCTCACATGCCACGCCTGCTACCTCGCGATGAGCATGAGCCTGAGTATCAGTGAATCTGAAATTGAGTGAGTCTGAGTATGAGTGTGTCCGTGATTCTGAATGTCAGTGCATCTCAGCGCTAGTGAATCTGAGCACGAGTGATCTGAGTGTGATGAATCTAGGAGTGAGTACATGTGAGTCAGAATGAGTCTGAGCATCAGTGATCTGGGTGTGATGAGAGAGAGATCGGACTGTGAGCGAGTCAGAGTCAAACTGGGCCTGAGTGTGAGTGAGCCTGGGTAGGAGAAGGAGGCCAGAGGGAGTGAGTGAGGATACGGAAGCGTCCCAGAAACAACAAGAAACCCAGACTCAAGACATGGGACAAATCGACCCGATCCCTGGACCCAATCTTTCTGCCCCAACTCCTCGAGCCGCACCGATCCGAGAGGGCCTGGGGGCCCGAAACGAGGCAGGATCGCCCGCTGCGCAAAAGCTGCGACGCCAGGATCTCAGGGTCGGCCCCCACACCCACTGAGGCTCTCGGGTCATAACTCTGCTCTCTGGCGGCCGTCCGGGACGATCCGGGCACCCCCCAGAACGCCCTCGGGGAGGCGCAGCTGCTGGGAAGCACCCCGCGACTGCGAAGGGCCGCCGCGAGCCGGCGAAAACGCCCGCAAGCCTCAAGCCCCTCGAGCCCTTTCGAGCCCCTCGAACGCCCTCGAACCACTCCCCTCCCCCAGCTTGCCGTCGCTCGGACGTCCATTTCCCATGCATGTTTCGGTTTCGTGCGTGTTTTTTTTTGTTGCTCGATGGTCCAGGATGGTCCTCGATGGTTCTCGCCGAGAATTTATGCACACGTCCGAGCGATGCCAAGCCAGGGGAAGCCTCCGCGGCCCAGACGCGACCGCGGGCGCGCGGGCTCGAGACCCGAGGGGCCAGCGCCTGACAAACCCTGCCGCCCGCGCCCCAATAAGACAACGTCGACGCCGCGGCCCACCTCCTCCTCCTCCTCCTCCTCCTCCTCCTCCTCCTCCTCCGCCTCCTCCGCCTCCTCCTCCGCCTCCTCCTCCTCCTCCTCCTCTTCCGCCTCCTCCTCCTCCTCCTCCTCCTCCTCCTCCTCGAGAACCCCCCCCCCCTCCACCCTCTCGGAGGGCCCACGGCTCCCCAGGGTCCGAGGCCGCGTCTGCCCCGGTGGCCGCGGTGCCCTCCCCGAGACGCGAGGCCGCGCGTCGGGAGAAACGGCGCGGCGACACAAGTTGTCCCAGATCTGAAGAAGGGGCCCTGGGACACACAAAGAAATCCGCCGACCCTGTCGGCGTATGTGAGGGGCTTCTCCGTTCGACTCGTCGTCTCCGTCGTCTCCGTTCTCCCCCTCCCAGAGCTCTCCTCCTCAAGCGCGCTATCCAAAGCGAAATTAAACGACGTCGTAGTGGAGTCGAAGGGAAGCCCCTTCCCTTTGATCCCTTCCCCGCAGGGGGGGGGGAAGGGGGGGAGGGGGGGGGAGCAAGTTAGGTGCGCTCGCGTCAACATCTGACATCCTACCCCTCCCTCCCATCCCTTACCATGGCGCTGATTTTCTCTATCCGCGGACGCGTGTCGTAGCGGACCTGTGGCTCCGCGCGCGTGTGCGTAGTGGGTGGTGGTGCGCGTGCGTGCGTGCGTGTGTGCGTGGTTGTGGTTGTTGTGGTGGTGGTGTGTATGTGTGTGTGTGCGTGTGTGCGCGTGTGCTGTGGTGTGACGTGGTGTGGCGTCTTGGTGGTTTGGTGGTGGGCCAGGTGCGTACGTGCGTGATGGCGGTGGTGGTGGTGGTGGCGGTGGTGTGTGTGTGTGCCTGTGTCTGTGTGTGCGTGTGTGTGTGTGTGTGCGTGTGTATGTGTGTGTGTGTGTGCGTGCGTGCGTGTGTGTCTGTGTGTGCGCGCGTGTGATGTGGTGTGACGCGGTGTAGCGTGGTGGTGGTGGGTGGGGTGGTGCGGTGGTGGTGGCGGTGCGCGGTGGTGGTGCGCGTGCGTGCGTGCGTGCGTTGGTGGGTGGAAGTGGCGGTGGGTGTGCGTGCGGCGGGGCGGGGCGTGGTGCGGCGCGGTGGTGGCGAGAGGATGGGCGCGCGAGAAAGAGGCCCGCGCATGGGCGAGAACGCCATCCTGAACGACGGAGGCAAAACACCGATCCGAAAATGAGGCCCACGCTGCAGCGGGAGCACGATTCGGAACGATTCGGGAGCAGAAATGGGGGAGGGGGGGAAGGGAGGGGGGGCCCGGGGCAGATACGACGCCCGCCGAAGCGCACTTGCTTCGAGCGGGCACGCACGGGATGCACTTCCTCCTCCTCCTCCTGGTCCTCCTCCTCCTCCTTTTTCCTCCTCCTCCTCCTCCTCCTCCTCCTCCTCCTCCTCCTCCTCCCTCCTCCTCCTCCTCCTCCTCCTCCTCCCCCTCCTCCTCCTCCTCCTCCCTCCTCCTCCTCCTCCTCCTCCTCCTCCTCCTCCTCCTCCTCCTCCTCATTTGTGCTTGTCCACAGTATAGACTGATAGTGAGGATGCGCGATAAGGACGCGAGCCCTCTGGACGCGCATCATGTCGGAGCTGTGTCGAGCGGGTCGGGCCATCGAGAGGGGCGAATCTTCGTTTCTGATATCAGCGCCAACGCCTCATGAACCCAAATCTAATCCTGGAGAGAGAGAAAAAGAACCTGCAGCGGCCAGGCACGCCAACAGGCAGGGGTGCCAGCCTGAAAAAAACAGCACGGGAAAGAGGAAGCAAGGATGCACTGTTCGGTGGCAACTGATGGGAGCCTCCCATACCATCTTGTCGGCTCTGGTGAATCGACGCGAATCGATGCTAAACCGACGCCCATCGACGCTACTCGACGTTCGATCGACGCTAAAGACGGAATTAAGGGGGTATACCAGGCTCCCAATGATTTGCTATCGAACAAAACCAACGCGGGAAAGTGGAAGCAAGGACGCATTGGTGCCTTCCTATCGGTTTCGAGTGCGCAGTTCCCTCCCGAAGCGCGCGGACCTGGACAGAGAGCACCTGCAGCGGAGGGTGGCGCCAGGCGCGCCAACAGACATGGGCGCCAGCCTGTAACGAAACAAGTGCGGGAAAGAGGAGGCGGAGGCGGAGGAAGAGGAGGAGGAGGACGAGTTGTTTTTGCCGTCGACGGCGCCAAGCTGCCAACATACACCTCAAGCGGGGGGGGCGAGACCCGCCAGGAGGAGGAAGACGAGGAGGAGGAAGAGGAGGAGGAGGACGAGGAGGAGGAAGACGATGCTCCACTTTTCCTAAGGCCAGGCTATTCTCGCTGCAGCTGCGGCCGGGCTTGTCTGGCAGCAGCAGAGAGACAACAGAAAAAGGACCAGCTGGCCAACTTGCCTCCAGCGACTGCCAAGCTTGCGGTAGTGCGAGAGCACTCTGAGAGAGGCGCAAAGTGGAATGGTTGGGCTCGAAAACCGCTTGAGCACAGACAGTTGCGGCCAGAGCGGAAACATTCAGCATTGCACACTGTTACACGTTGCTACATGCTCCACTTTTCCTAAGGCCAAGCTATTCTCGCTGCAGCTGCGGCCGGGCTTATCTGGCAGCAGCAGAGAGACAACAGAAAAAGGACCAGCTGGCCAACTTGCCGATATCCGCCAAAATCTAGCGACCTGGCGGTTGAGGCGGCACTTTTCAGCCGAAATTCCCAACAGTGCAAGCACACCGCGGAGACACCCAGCAGCGAGGCGCCGTTATCATCACGCTGCGCCACCAAGCGAGGGGCCCCCATCATCGTCTAGCGGCGTCGACACATGACGCCCACAAAGAAACCAAGCGAGGAGGGTAGGGCTCTGCGACCAACGTCCAGAGCTTGCCTCCTGGTGCTTTGCCTTCTAAGACCTGATGGCGGTCACCGGAATATTTGCAGCGAGGACCATTGCATTCTGCGCGCAGAGGCTCCAGCGCACATGGGATACCCACATTCCAGCAGGCAATGGTAGTGGCTTTCCGCCATGGGGTTCCGAATTTGCAATATACAGTATTGATCAGACAAGCTTTTCGCAACAGAGGGGCCAGAATTGGCTGCTGCCACAGCCAAGACGACCTGGGGTTCTCCAAAGACACAGGCACGCTAAATCTGATGCAGCTTCGAATGATACGGACCGAGGCCTGGGCCAGACGATTTCCGACCGACACCTTGGTCGCATCCACGCCAAAAAGCTCAGGAAGGCCCCCAGGATACAGTTTGGACCTGAGGGGGCCCCCGGGACTGCCAAGCTTGCCTCGCCTTGCTGTCGAAAAACTGCTGCATGGCGTGCCGAGATGCACCCAGCCTGCGCTGGGAACGCACTTCAACACGCGCCTAATTACTGCTTGATTTGACAAGTCTTGCTTAGGTGAGTCTCGAATGTCCCAAGTGGCCGACCGCCAGCCTCTGCGAGCCAGGGCCTGAGAGAGGCCGCGTTTGCCCGAAAACAATTCCAAAAACAAGGGCCTCACGCAAGACCCGCGTCGTGGCATCTGCTCTCGAACTTTACGTCGTGCTTGAACCTGAGTCCTGCCTCGAGGCTGCTGGTTGAACTGGCCATCAGCAGCTGGTAGTCCCGCTGCAGCGTCGCCGTGCGCCGCATCACCCGCGAGCTTTTCTCGTACCTCTGCACAGCCGCGGCACGCTCGAACATGGCAGTGGAGACCGCGGCCCACCACGGAAAGAGGAGCTCCGCCGAGAAGCTCTTCTGCCTCGCCAGCCGCTTCACCAGCACACCCAGGTCGCGCCTCGACGTGCCATCCAGCAGGATCGAGTCGTTGAAGCCCTTCGTCTTGGTCGGCAGCAGCTCCTCCTCTGGCTTCGGCTCCAGCGACGCGAAGCGGTAGTCGCTTCCGGCCTCTGACTGGGCTGGGACCACACGGTTGGCCTGGAGCGACAGCAGCTCGCCTGGCCGAAGGTAGGCGTCCGCCGCCAGCACCACCGCCAGAGCCGCCAGCGGCTGCCTGCGCCTGACCAATGCCAGCGCGATGGACGCCACGGCGGCCCACGGCACGGGCGCCCGTATCACCAGCGGCAACAGATGCCGCCAGCCCCGCAGCGCCTTCGCCTCCCTCGGCAGCTTCAGCAACCGCATGGCATGATGGAGCCTCGGCCAGCGATGGCCTACTGCCGCCAGCAGCTTGGCCCCGCCGCTGCAGGGCCCCCCCTGCGCGAACAGGAGGTCCATGTACTCCACCAGGGCCTCCCTGAGCAGCGGGTAGGTGTCGAGCGCCAGGCCGCTGATGCTGCAGAAGCCGAAGAACCGCTCCCGCTTCCGCTCGCAGTCCTCCGTGGTCTTCGCCGTCACGTTTTCCTGCTCCAGGACGGTCGGCCCACCAGTGCCAGCTATCCTCACGAGAGCCCGGTCCCTTGCTCCAGCCGCCGGAGGCGGGAGGAGGCCTCTCGGCCTCGCAGGGGATCGGCGAGACCTCGTTGATGAGCCGCGCAGCCGCCCTGTCGAGGTACCCTGGGCCGCCGCCGCTCTGCCATGGCCCCACGACAGCGTCGGGCACCGGGCCGCTCCGCCGCTGCAGCCGTCTCTCGGGAGCCGGCCCGCCGACGGCGGAGGGGTGCCAGGCGCGCCTGCACCAACCGGCGCCGGAGGCGCTGCTACACGCCTCAGGCACTTCTCCGCAAGCCTCGCGCCGGTGGGCTCCCAACGCAGCTGCCGCCGCCTTCTCCGCCGGCGTGTCGAACCATCGGCTGGGCTCATCGCTGGGGTTCAGCTCACTCGCAATCCACCTCGCACAGGTGCGAGAGAAGGTGGCCAGAGAAAGCGCGGCCCACTTCCTGAGCAGGAGGAGTACGGGTACAGATACAGCTCGCCCCTTCTCCAGACTCAGAACCATGCCCATGTTGTCACACAGAAATAGATGATGCTTGTGATGATGTCTAGCTTGTCTGCATTTGCGCCTCCACCCAAATAACACCGCTCTCAACTCCTTCAGGTGGATTGCCTCCTTCCTGTGATACCTTCTCGCTTGTATAGTCCTCCAATTAACCCCCTCCTTGGTGAATGATGCTGGTAGCTCAGGAAACTGATGATTGATGCTAATGGCAATGTCGTCGTCGTAGTGTTCTCCATTTTCAGCGAAAGCCTCAAGTCCGTCGAGTGGCAGAGCGCCACCCAATGCCCGATCCCGAGGACGGCCGGCCCCCTCGACCTTGAAGCGCCAGCGTTCACTCCAGCGCCCCACTTGCTTTACCTCAGACACCGGGAAGTCCGCCTCCTGCACGGCGTAGCCCCTCAGCGTAGCGTCGGAGCAGGTGACCAACCCAGACCACGGCATATCGAATTGCACCGCGAGCAGCGGCATGATGTGCATGGCGTTCTGCAGCTCCTGCCTCACAGAAGGCCAGAGCAGGCTGGGCGCCCGGTAATGCCGCCGAGCGAAGTCGTAAGCGGCGCGGAAGATACAAAGCGCCGGGCGGTTCAGCAGCATGGCATGCGTAAAATGGCCGATCAGCTTCTCGACGTCCCTGCCTGCCACCAGCCGCCGCCGCGGCAGCGCACGCGCGCCCTGCACCCGCCGCCACCGCTTGGAGGGGGCCAGGCGGCGCCGGAGCTTGATACCATCCAGCTCCAGGCCCAGCGCCTCGACGACATGCTTGCCCTCCTCCACCTCGTGCAGCGGCAGCCCGACGCTGGACATCTTCTTGGCCGCCTGCTGCCTGGCGTCGGCAGAGGCACCGGGTCGAGATGAGACGAAAACCTCATTGTCCACGTACACGATGCGGGGAACAGGCGTAGCCGAGGTCGTCGGGGGCACCTGGCGGTCCACCAGCTCGCTCTCGATGCCTCCAAGCCCTGCCCGCCGCAGCAGCTCTCGATGCGCCTGCTGCGTCCATCTCATGGCCCACGAGAAACCCATGGGCAGCACCCGCAGACATGGGTAGACCCAGGCGCCCGCGAGCACAGGCTCGCCCTGCACGGTCTTGGCTCCCACCTCGCCGGCCCTGACGGGCCTCATCCCGAACCACGGCACCATGTAGTCCGGGACCCTGAACTGGTAAAAGCAATCGGCGATGTCCTGAATCGAGAACTCCAGCATGTCCCCAGGCTCTGCCTCAAGCCCGACCATCGCCGCCGTCGACGCCAGCTGGATGGAGGTGGGACGCCTGAGGTTCTGATTGACGGACCTGGCATCCACTATCAGGCGCAACTTGCCCGACTTCTTGCGTACGAAGAATATCCCAACCTCAAATTCACGGCGAGTACGGAGCTCCACCATGCCCCTGTTCAGCAGGTCCTGCACGAACCTGGTGTACTCGCCTCTGTCCGCCTTGAGCGTCTTGTCCCAGTAGACCTTGCAGGCCGCTGGCGGCTCCTCCTCAGCCCGAAGCAAAAGCGCACGGGGACCGTCGATCACCTCCTGGCGGTCAGGGTCTGGCAACACGTCCAGCAAGTCAACCGAACCTGCGGTGTCCGGCCACGAGACCAAGCCGCGATCATACGGCGCAACCACGGAGAGGTCCTCGGACGCGTAGTCGAGGGCCTCGGTACCGAGCAACTCCTGAAGGGCTGCCTCGGGGGCGGGCAACGGGTCCGGCGGCCTGTCGTCAGTGACCGCGCGCAGGATGCCGTCAAGCGCCGAAGACTGTGCCTGCGAGGGTCTTCCTCCAGGCAAAAAAGAGCCGTCCCCGTACAGGTTGTTGAGGGCGGCGATGCAGTTGTTCGAGCGTCGGCCGATGGCCGCCTTCCTGCCCAGACGCTGAGCAGCACGGCGAGGACCTCGGCGCTGTTCAGGAGAGCTATAGGTGACCTCGGGCAAAAGGAACAGATCCCGAGGCACCACCCTCTCCATAGTGCGGCCTGAATCTACGACCCGGGACGGCCAGCCCCCGGATCCTGAGTCCATCATGACCTCTTAGGAGCGCACGCAAGCGTACGCTCCTCAGCAGCCTCCTTCTCTTCCTTCAGGATGGACGATTCGCGGGCAGCCCACTCGGCCACCCACTTCTGGAGCTCCGGGGCCTTCCACGCACCTCCCGTGCGCCACGCCCTGCCCAGGTAGTAGCCCTGCAGGTCGAAGTCCTTCCCGGCCTCCTGCTTCTTCTTGATCCGCTGCTTGGTGTGCCGGGAGTGGAGGCACAGGCTCCCCATGCCCGCCAAGTCCGACACGTCGAGCTGAACGAGAGTGGTCGCCAGCTCAATGATCTCCGAGAGCATCCCATGCGTCACCGCGCTGAGCTCGACATCCTGCAGCTCGTTCTCGTGCTTCCAGGTCGAGAGGCGCTTGAAGGGGCCAGCCACCTGTTCAGCTATCTCCTTCACCAGGTCCAAAACCGAGCGCGGCCCTTCCAGCACCCAATCATCAAAGCCACACATCTCCGAGCTGTTCGCCACACTCTTCATGTTCTCGAAGCGCCGTCCCGCGCTGTCGCGCAGCACCGGCAGGGTGCGCGCGTCCTCGGAGCTCGGCGCTCCTGGCGCCCGCACCAGCGGAGTGTCCGTGCCCTCCACGTCGCTGTTCCTCTTCGTCCGGCGCCTGAACAGCTCGATCACCTCACTCTCCTGCTCCCCAACCTCCACGCGATACAGCACCGCGGGGTCGCCTCGCAGGCCCCTGTCATACAGGTCCACCGAGCCGTTGCCAACGAAGCTGTCCGACGGGATGTGGTGCTGCGCAGCGAGCATGAAGGTGTTGCCCACGTACTCCTGCGCCGACAGCGCCACACACACCCACTTGACGAGCTCCGAGCTTGACCCAGCAGGACGCGATCCAGCTGGGGGAGGCACAGGGGGAGCCGCGCTCGCGCCGGTCCCCGCCAACGCTGGCGGCGGCCCCGGCACGTCCTCCAGGATGCCCATCATGCTGCTCTCCACGGCCGCCTTGGCGCGGCCCTGCTCGAACAAGTCCTGCAGCTCCTGCCCGACGGGCTTCGTCGAGAAGCGGTACACGGGCTGGCCGCGCGCTGCGCCCAGCCCAGCGGGCAGCCCCCCTCGGGGGCCACCCTCTCTGAAGTCCCCGAAGAACTCCAGGCCGATGGTCTCCGCGTAGATGTCCCAGATGCTGTAGCAGCAGTGGTCCACGACTGCGAGGATCAGGCGGTCATATGGTTCCCCGTCCACCCCGTAGCTGACGCAGACCACGCTCCCGCGCTTCAGCCCCTCGAAGGACCTGCGCCTTCTCGGAGCCACGCGCATCATGTCGATCGACCTGTGGCCGCTCTCCAAAGGCGCCTGCACCAGCCGATCGAGGGCCATCTGAAGGCTCGTCTGTCTGAGCGCGAAGGCACACGCCAGCACCAGCTGGCACGTCACGTAGCAAGAACGGCACACCGCCTGCGCCACCAGCATCAGCAGAGCGACCAGCCCGCCAGCCAGGACCGCTGCCGTCACGGCCAGCCCGAGGGGCACAGGAGCTCCCCAGATGTCCTGGGAGCCGAGGCAGGCAATGGCGGCGCTCGAGAGCGCCAGACCACAGTGGCAGACGCCGACCGCCTCCTTCACGCCACCATGAAGCTGGGCGCCGGGGCCAGGGACTTATAGGCAGAAAAGGCCCAGCCGAAATCTCCCATCCGCCGCCTCGAAAACCGCTTGAGCACAGACAGTTGCGGCCAGAGCGGAAACATTCAGCATTGCACACTGTTACACGTTGCTACAGGAGGAAGACGAGGCGGAGGAGGAGGAGGAGGAGGAGGAAGACGAGGAGGAGGAGGAGGAGGAGAATGACGAGGAGGAGGAGGAAGACGAGGAGGAGGAAGAGGAGGAGGACGAGGAGGAGGAGGAGGACGAGGAGGAGGACGACGACGAGGACGGCCTCGGTGCGACGCTGTAGCAACGAGGAGGAGGAGGAGGAGGAGGAGGAGGAGGACGCAGTGGCGCCTCACGACCAGTTTCGAGTGCACCCTTCCCTCCCGAGGCGCGGCCGCGCGATCGCGGCCTGGAGCGCTCACGCACATCATGAGCGGGTCCCCGGACTCCTCCTGCTCTGGCCCCTCCTCGCGGGCGCGGCGCGCCGGGGTTTTGGAACCGCCAGGGGGGGACGCGGCGGAAGGAGGGGAGGGGAGGGAGGGGGGGGAGGCAAGCTAGGTGCGCTCGCGTCATATCTGACGTCCTACCCCTCCCTCCCATCCCTTACCATGGCGCTGATTTTCTCTATCCGCGGACGCGTGTCGTAGCGGACCTGTGGCTCCGCGCGCGCGTGCGTAGTGGGTGGTGGTGCACGTGCGTGCGTGCGTGCGTGTGTGCGTGGTTGTCGTGGTGGTGGTGGTGGTGGTGGTGGTGGTGGTGAGTGGTGGTGGTGGTGGTGGTGGTGGTGGTGGTGGTGGTGGTGGTGGTGGTGGTGGTGGTGGGTGGTGGTGGTGCTGGTGGTGGTTGGTGGTGGGTGGTGGTGTGGTGGTGGTGGTGATGGTGGTGGTGGTGGTGGTGCTGGTGGTGGTGGTGGATGTGGTGGTGGTGGTGTTGGTACTGGTGCTGGTGCTGTGGTGGTTGGGGGTGGTGGTGGTGATGGTGGTGTGGTGGTGGTGGTGGTGGTGGTGGTGGTGGTGATGGTGGTGGTGTGGTGCTGGTGGTGTGGTGCTGGTGGGGTGGTGGTGGTGGTGTGGTACTGGTGCTGGTGGTGGTGGTTGTGGTGGTGTGGTGGTGTGGGTGGTGGTGTGGTGGTGGATGTGGTGGGGTGGTGGTGGTGTGGTGGTGGTGTGGTGGTGGTGGTGGTGGTGGTGGTGGTGGTTGGTGGTGGCGGTGCGGCGCGGTGGTGGCGGGCGGATGGGCGCGCGAGAAAAAGGCCCGCGCTGGGGCGAGAACGCCATCCTGAACGACGGAGGCCAAGCACCGATCCGAAAATGAGGCCCACGCTGCAGCGGGAGCACGATTCGGAACGATTCGGGAGCAGAAATGAAGCCGGCGCCTCAACGAGAGCAGCATTTTGGGAAAAAATGACGCCGGCGCCTCAGCGAGAGTCGTTTCCCGGGATTTCCCGGGTATCCTGCGTGTAAAAAAACAATACGCGGAGGGTGCGCGGCCATCACCCGAACGCCATCAGGGGAAGGATTCGGGAGCAGAAATGAGGCCGGCGCCTCAACGAGAGCAGCATTTTGGGAAAAAATGACGCCGGCGCGAGAGCAGCATTTTGGGAAAAAATGACGCCGGCGCCTCAGCGAGAGTCGTTTCCCGGGATTTCCCAGGCATCCTGTGTGTAAAAAACAATACGCGGAGGATGCGCGGCCATCACCCGGACGCCATCAGGGGAAGAGGGAGAGTATATTCATATTGAGTAATTGTGGAGGGGAGGGGAGGGGAGGGGAGGGGAGGATGAGGGGAGGGAGGGAAGAGAGAGAGGCGAAGGGGAGGCATGGGGAGAGGAAGAAAGGGTGAGGGGAGAGGATGAGGGACGGGGCAGGGAGAAAGAGGAGGGAGGGGAAGGAAGAGGCCGAGGAAGAGGAAGAGGAAGAGGAAGAGGAGGAGGAGGAGGAAGAGGAAGAGGAGGAGGAAGAGGACCACTGACCAAGCTTGTGGGCCTACGAGCGGGCGGACCTCGGAGGGGGGAAGGAGGAGCCCTCCGAAAGCTTCGGCGCATGCCAGGCATGCCGATGTCTCTTCTGCGAACGGTCTTCAACAGCAAACGCGCGACAGTGACACTTTAGGAGGCAACTACTGGGAGGCTTTCGTCGGAAAGATTAAGGAGGATGAAGCCCCATTTGGGAGCTGTTACGCCGGAAAAGGCCTCGGAATAAGCGGGGCTAAGGCGGATTAAGCGGGATTAAGCGGGATTAAGCCGGATTAAGCCGGATAAAGCCGGATTTCGGACCAGGGCAAAATCAGAATTTGACCTCCCAGGAGTTGCATCCGAAGACACTGGATCTCATATGGAAAAATCCATTGCTGACATCGGCGCGGCGACTGCGCGGCCCAAGCAGGATACTCTCCACTCCACGCGTCTCGTACGCGTCGGCCACGTCATCCACCCTCGCGGCGTTCGGGACCAGCATGCTGCTGGGCGAAGAGGTGGCGTCATAGCCCTCCCTGCACTGAAACCTGCGACAGGGGAACCGAGGAGCACGACGCCAGGGCCGGCGCAGATGACGCGCCTCGCCATTGAGCTCACGGCGACCCTTGTGGGCACGACGTGCTTTCGAAAGACCACCCGCCAGCACAGCCGGACATAGGCAATAAGATGAAGAGGCCCTGGGACACACAAATAAATACACACAAATAAAAGGATTCCCCATATTTTCCTATATTTTCTGGGGGTTCTATCTTCCCCCCCACTTCCCATATTTTCCCACATTTTCCTGGGAATCGACGATTCATTGTGTCTGTGTGTTTATCCCCTCCTGAATAAGAGCAGTCTCCAAAAACCTGAGGCCCCCTGGGCGCACGAGAGCACCCAACAGGCACGAAGCACACGAGGGCACCCTTCTCCCTCACCGGGCGCGTTCTCCCACCTCGCTCCGACCACGCTCGTGGGACTTCCCCGGGCCACCTCCAGGATCAGGTCGAGCATGTCCCCCAACAAGGCGGACTCTGGAAGAAGCGCGTGCATACATACATACATACATACATACATACATACATGCATACATACATACATACATACATACATACATACATACATACATATATATATATACGACCAAACATCTCTTGCTTTGATCTCCGAACTCAACAATCGGTCCCAGACTGTGCCTTGACCAGTTTTGTGATACTCCTCCCGCAAAGGGGGACACGCCCGAAGCAGAAGAGCGCTCGGGGGCCCGCGAGGGGTCCTCCGGCGCGCGCGGGGCCCCTCCCGCCCCGGGCGCGCGCTCCGGGCGGCGCCCGGGGCGCCGCCCGGCAGGCGCCGCCGGGAGGGCGCCAGCGCCGATCTCCCAAGCAGTCCGCGCGGAGCTCCGAGCATCTTTGTCTGCGGCGGACGCGCGTCGTGACGACGCCAGCGCTGGTCTCCGGCACCGCGCGGGCCGCTCGGCCTTGAAACGATCGGCGGCTCCTCGAGCGCCCGATCGTTCCGCAGGGGCCGAGTCTGGGCCACGGGCGGCGCTCCGCCTCGAGCGCCCGCGGCGGGGTCGCCGCTGGCCGGCAGGACGCGAACCTACCGTGCAGTAGGAACTCCACCACAAGGAGACTTTCACGAGAGGCCCAACCCTGAGACCCCAGAGCTGAAGGGGCCCCAGGACACACAAATAGATACACACAAATAAAAGGATTCCCCATATTTTCCCATGTTTTCTGGGCTTTTGTCTTCCCCCCCACTTCCCATATTTTCCCATATTCTCCTGGGACTCGACGATTCATTGTGTCTGTGTGTTTTTCCCCTCCTGACAGCCCTGAGACCCCAGGACGCCCAGTGATTGTTCACGTGGGCACGTCACGCCTTCCACTGGCAAGACCACCGAAGCCAGAGAAGCCCCCCGGGGGGGCACCCTGCAGGCCAGCAGGGCGCCTCTTGGCGCGGGCTTCCCCTCTGCAGGCATGCCGTTCCTCCTCGAAGCTCATGCGAGGGGCCGCGGCGCGAGCCCCTCCGCCTCCCGCGCGTGCGCCCGCGCTGACCACGACGAGCAGCGCGACAGCCCAGCAGGCGACGAGGAGCTCGCCCGCGGCGCCCCCGCCCCGCTGCGCCGCCTCTCGGCGGCGCGCCGCGCCGCCGCGGCGGACGGTCCAGTCCGCCGCCCAGGGCTGCTCGCAGCTGGCGCGCGGTGGCCCGGCGGACGGCCCCGCGTCGTCCTCGAGCACATCCACTAGAAGAAGAGAGCAGCAACAAAAACAGAAGCAGAAACTGTTGGCGCTCCGCGCGGATGTCCTGGATCTGCGCTGGGCCCCCCCCCCCCCCCTGGAGCGCGCCAGGGGCGGCGCCGGAGGCGCCGCTGGGGTGGCCCAGCACGGATCCAAGGAGTCCGCGCGGAGCGCCAAAAGTTTATGTTTACGGCGTTGTTGTGATTCTTCGATGTACGCAGGTGGTCCGCTGGAGGTCCTCGCACGTGCGGCACAACCCCGCGCCCGTCCCGATGACGAGCCGCGGTGCGTGCGGCAGGGCGCCATGCCCAGGCTGCGGATCGTGTTCAGGGCCATGTCTGGCATCCCGCCGTGCGACGCCGTCACCGTCGCCGGCTGCCATGCGGATCGCGTCCGTGAGCCTGTCCGCTTTTTTCACCCGACAGGCAGCCCATCTGGACGATCCTATGGACCTGGGACGAATCAACATCTGGGACCTCCGCCTCTTTCCGGGGGTCCGACTCGGGGATGGACACAGCCCCCTTCAGCAAGACGTGGCTTCGTGAAAACGACCTCGGGTCCAAACCTGACGGGCGCCAGCCTGGAAAATGACGGCCGCGGCGCCCGAGAACCTAAAGCGGACGATTCACTAATCGACGTGTCAGGGTGGGGGTTCTGTCCACCCACGACCGACTGGGACGGATCCTCCGGCAACTACCGGGCGCGGTCGTCGAGATGACCCGCCTCGTTGTCAGCACGGCTGCCAACCTGAGGGGACAGTTGGTGAGAGGCCGCAGGAATCGAGAGCGTCAGGCACGCGCATGCAGCGCGCCTTCTGGTCAGCATTGAGGCGAACTACAAGAAGTCTGTAGAAATGGTAATGAGATAAAGTAAAGAGGATGTGGACAAGAGAGCCGTGTACGATGGGCCATGGGGGCCTCGAGCCGAAATGGACGACGGATGAATAGGAGGAAAAGCAGGAAAAAGAAAACGAAGGAAGAGGAAGAGAAGCAGTGGTCTGCCCACCCTCACTGATTGAGGCTCCGCTTCTGAATGGGTGTGGATGCCCTCGGGTTGGCTTGCCCGACAGCCAGCGTACCATCACTAAGAAGCGGGGGCGCATACACCACACATGCACATAAATGAAACCACATACACGCACTATGCATGTACAATTTTGTTCTAGAACAGGTCGTAGCAGCATCATAACAGCGAAAGGGTATAGGCACAATGTCCCATCAGCATCGGCGTACGCGTACACCTTGGCAAACGCAGGCGTAGTCATACACTGACGCATGCTTCCATACAATATATAAGCGAGGTCTACGAAGAAAGATGGTGATGATGATGATGATGATGATGATGATGATGATGATGATGATGATGATGATGGTGATGGTGATGGTGCTGCTGATGGTTATGGTGATGATGATCATGATGATGCTGATGATGCTGATGATGCTGATGATGCTGGTGATGATGATGATACTGATACTTATGAATATGAGCATGACGATGCTGATGATGATGATGATGACGACGAGGATGCTGATGATGATGGTGATGATAATGGTGTTGTTGGTGGTGATGTCAATGGCGATGAGGACGATGGTGATGGTGATGGTGATCGTGATAGTGATGATGATGATGATGGTGATGAGGATGTTTGTGGTGATCCTGATGATGACACTGATAATGATGATGACGGTGGTGGTGATCATACTGGTGATGGTGATGTTAATGCTGATGATGGTGGTGATGATGATGACGGCGGCGGCGATGGTGATGCTAGTACTAATCATCATGGTGATGGTGGTGATGATTTTACTGGTAATTAGTATGATGATGATGGTGGTGATGATGATGATGATGCTGATGGTGACGATGGTGACGATGATGAGTAGGAGTATGATGATGGTGATGATGGTGATGATGATGATGATGGTTGTGGTGATCCTGATGATGACTCTGATGATGATGACGGTGGTGGTGATCATGCTGGTGATGGTGATGTTGATGCTGATGATGGTGGTGATGATGACGGCGGCGGCGCTGGCGATGCTAATAATAATCATGATGGTGATGGTGGTGATGATTTTGATGGTAATGAGTATGATGATGGTGGTGTTGATGATGATGTTGATGGTGACGATGGTGACGATGGTGACGGTGATGATGATAATGATGATGATGACGATGATGAAATTAAAGGTGATGACGATGATGATGGTGGTGATGATGGTGAGGGTGATGATGGTGATAATGATGGCGGTGGTGATGATGATGATGATAATGATGATGACGATGATGATGATGATGAAGTGCAGCAACAGACAAAGGCAACATCATCCCTGCGACATCGCTCCTGTCAGTTGGGCGTATGTGGTTTAGCGAGGTGGTGGTCTGGAATCCTCTCCCGCAGGTCGTTGAGGCGTCCAAGATGGTCCACGATCGCTCCTATAATAGCCCAAGGTGGCCTCCAATGACACAAGATAGCCGAAGATGGTCAAAAAGTAGCTTCCAACATGCCTACAAAGGCCCCAGGGACGCCCCAAGGCGGCTCAAAGTTGCCAAGAAGCCCCCCAAGGACGCCCCCGAGAGGCCTGAATCCTTCCAACACCTGAGGAACATACAGGTTGGTTGCCTTCTCGCCGTTTCGCCTCCGATTGGCTTCTGAGGCCTCAAGATGGCTCCAAGATTGCCCAAGAGAGCCCCAAGAGGGGTCCAAGAGGGGCCCAAGAGAGCCCCAAGACGGCCCCAAGAGCGCCCCAAGAGGGCGATGTTGAGGGGTCCGACTGGGGGCGTTAATCAGGCCCCCTGTCTTGTATCGACGACCTCCGAAGTGACCCCAAGAGTGCCCCCAAGGCCATCCAAGAGGGCCCCAGGGGAGCCCCAAGCACCTCCAAAATGGCCCCAAAAGGGACCCCAAGATGGCTCAAGTAAGCTGCCAAGAGAGTCCCACATCGAAAGATTCGCGAAGGCATTCATGGTTGACTCCTTGGCACGCTCAGGCTGACCCCGATCTTCGATTCGACCGCTGCACCCTCTGCTGTTCCACGGTATGCTCCCACACTTCCCTGATCAGTGCAACTCCACTGGGCATCCTTTCTGGATGAGCTGGTGGCGACACTTTTTGGTCGCGGGCGCAAGTGGAAGCGCAGGCGCCGAGTTGAAAGGTCCGGGCCACGGGCCTATCAAATTGGCTACGCGCGAGCCTAGAGCGAAGCGGCCGGGCCAGCACTCAGTACAGCCGCCGGCGGGGCTGCAGCTGATGGGAAGCTGGCTGAGCTGCCTGCTGAAGGCCTGGGTGGCAGGTGCAACACTGGTGGCGACACTCTTTTTTTTTACAGCCGCAGGCGGAAGCGCCGGCGGCGAGCAGTCACGGTCGGGCTGCGGCCGCGACTAAATTCCCGGGCGCGCGCGGGAGCCACGGATCAGGCGGCGAAGCAGCGGCAACCCAGGGCGTCTGAGAGGCCAGGCGGTCGTGCAATCCCAGGGAGTCTGAAAGGTCAATCACCTGTGGCGGTCGTGCAAGCTGCAACCCAGGGAGTCTGAGAGGTCAGCCACCCGGGCGAGCCAGGCGCGGCCAAAATGGCGCGCAGTGCGTTCCAGGTCGTGATCGTGTCGAGACAACCGCGAGGTAGGGAACGATCTGCTGGTGGCGACACGCGAAGCGTCAGGAGTTGACTCACCCGCCTGAGTGCCCTACTGGGCCGCGTTGGCGGTGTTTACCCCCCCCTTCCCGCAGCGGGTCTCTTCGGCGCCACGCGGTGGGGCAAGGACAAGAGGAGGGGTCGCCGGAGCGTTCCATGTTTCCTGAATGTTCCTCGCGCGGACTCACAAAATCCGCGCGGAGCGCCAAAAGCTTATGTTTATGGCGTTTTTCCCTCTTCGAATGTCCCATGCTTCACCTCTCTCTCTCTCTCTCTCTCTCTACATATATATATATATATATATATATACAGATATATATGTATATATACAGACTTTTCTGCGCTTCTGTGCCTGTGTCTGCTTGTGTGCTTGTCTGTGCTTTCTGTGCATCTGTGCTTGTGACTACTTTTCCCCTCCCGAGGAGCAGGCGGCTGCCAGGGCAGCACGAGCAGAAGGAGCGCCTGGCGGCCTCGCGGGGGAGGGGCCACTGAAGAGGGCTGCCCCGCCGGCGACCCCGCCGAGCCTGTAGCTCGGAAGCCTCGCGGGACCGCCCGTCGTCCAAGCCTCGTCGAGCGAGTCTGTAGCTCTCAAGCCTCGCGGGACCGCCGGCGACCCCGCCGAGCGTGTAGCTCGAAAGCCTCGCGTGACCGGCCGTCTTCCTCCGGCGTCCACAGCTGAGCGAGGAGCAAAGACGGGTCTTGCGCGAGATGCCATGGAGACCCTTACGCGGCGGCCTACGCGGGCCGCCCGGGCGGCACGCCACTGGAGACGAGGGCGCTTACGCGCGACCTTGCGCGGGCAGCTTACGAGCCAATGTCGGCGCAGACGATCCCGGTCTCTTGCGTCGCTCAACTGGAGACGAGCTCCCGAACCTACCTACCATGGCTCGCCACGACCTTCGCACAGGAAGAATCTGGGAGCCGCTCCAAGATGTACACTACGGTCTGCAGGCATTCGCCCGTGGCATAGTGTGCATAACGTATCACACTCGCGAATCTACCCTGAAGCGTGTCCACCACACTGTGCGCAGTGGCGGTTCCGAACATAGTTTCACGGTCGTGTTCGTCCCCGATAAACGACGCTGCAGCTGGCTTTGGCAAGCTTTGGGCAGCGATCCCTCTGCTACTCGGGATGGACCAGGCAACGGCTGCTGCAGCTCGACCTGACCCAGTTGAGCCAGCTGACCGAGCACCACTGGACTGGCAGCACGCCGCAGAAAAACATTCCGGAACCACCGCGCCCGTCCTCGCTCACGGCTTGAGTGGGAGGGCGCTGCTCGCCGCCGCCCGCCTCCGCCGGAGGCGCCACTGGCGTCGGCGCCGAAGTCGTGGGCGCCGCCGTCAAGGCTGGCGTCGAAGTCGGCGCCGTCGGCGTCGGCGACGGCGGCACCTGGGCTCCAGGCTCCGCCGAAGCGCTGGGAGCGGCGCAGCACTCGGCGCCGTCGGCATCGGCGTCGGCGGCAGCGTCGTGGGCGTCGTCGTCGTCGTCGTCAATGCCGGCGTCGAAGTCACCCTCGTCGGCGTCGGCGTCGGCGTCATGGGCACTGTCGTCGGCGCCGTCGGCGTCGGCGTCGACGTCGTGGGCGTCGTCGTCAATGCTGGCGTCGAAGTCGGCACCGTCGGCGTCGGCGGCATCGGCGCCTGGGCTACGGGCTCCGCCGAAAGCGCTGAGAGCGGCGCGGCACTCGGCGCGGTCAGCATCGGCATCGGCGGCGGCGTCGTGGTCGCCGTCGTCGTCAATGCTGGCGTCGAAGTTATCCTTGTCGGCGTCGGCGTCGGCATCGTGGACGCCGTCGTCAGCGCCGTCGGCGTCGGCGTCGACGTCGTGGGCGTCGTCGTCAATGCCGGCGTCGAAGTCGGCACCGTCGGCGTCGGCGGCGTCGGCGCCTGGGCTCCAGGCTCCGCTGGAAGCGCTGGGAGCGGCGCAGCACTCGGCGCCGTCGGCATCGGCGTCGGCGGAGGCGTCGTGGGCGCCGTCGTCGTCAACGCCGGTGTCGAAGTCGGCGCCGTCGGCGTCGGCGTCGGCGTCGTGGGCGTCATCGTCGTCGACGCCGTCGTCGCGTCAGCGACGTGGGCGTCAGCGTCGTGGGCGCCGTCGTCGTCGACGCTGGCGCCGAAGTCGGCGCCGTCGGCGTCGGCAGCGTCGGCGCCTGGGCTACGGGCACCGCTGGAGGCGCCAGGGGCGGCGCGGCACTCGGCGCCGTCGGCGTGTGCGTCGGCGTCGTGGGCGCCGTCGTCGTCGACGCCAGCGTCGAAGTCGACGTCGGTGGCAGCTTCCGCGGGCTGGCCGGCGCCGGGCCCGCTGCGGTGGGGCAGGCTCCGCAGGTCACGGGGCAGCAGCGGCGGACCAGTGCGGAGTACTGCGCGCCCTCGCAGGCCACGTTGGAGTACCTCAGGGCAACGAGATCTGCGGTCGGGTTTGCTTAGCATGTCGCGGCGGCGGCCTCGCCGACACGCGGTGCCCTGCAAGCCGGCAGCATGTCGCTCCGCTCCGCGGGGCGGGAGGCTGGGAGAGGCTCGGGACGTTGAAGCCTGGGGACTGGGAAATGCACAGCGTGTCGCGCCAAAGCGTGGTGGGCCAGAGCCGGCGCACCGACACGCCATCCCAAAGTTCCCGACTGTAGGGTATCCGCATCCGCCTACCGCGCTCAACTTTTGAAGGCCCGCGCAGATCTCGTGGACCGGCGCTGGGGCAAGCGCGTCGCCAGGACTGGGAAGTGGTTATGGCGTGTCGCGCCAGAACGTGGTGGGCCAGAGTAGAATTTACGTTTCAACGACCCGCCCGCTCGACCCGCCCGTCTGGGCCTGCCCGCCCGACCAGCCCGTTAGGGACTGCAGTCGCCGCTCGCTGCCCTGGGCCCGCCTTCGATGACCCTCGCTGCCCGTACTGGTTCCGCGGTCGCCTTCGCTCGCTGCCCTTCGTGGCCCCGTTGCTGCCCTTCGTGGCAGGGAATGAATATACCCCCCAACAGGGGGTACGATCGAAGACGAAGAGGGCGGGTATCCAGGGTTTGGGATATGCATATTGAATGAGACGCGAGCAGATAACAGCGAACGGTCTTAAAATGATTGTTGTTATTATTATTGTTGTTACTGGTGTTGATGTTGTTGTTGGTGTTGTTGTTGTTGCTGGTTTTGTTGTTGTTGGTGTTGTTGGTGTTGTTGTCGGTGTTGTTATTGTTGTTGTTGGTGTTGTTGTTGTTGAACTCTCACTTCTGAAGAATAATTACTGTTGATCCCCCCCACGGGTGCATACTGTTTGTTTCTCAATCAAAGTGTGCCCCTCGACGCTCGCACCCTGTCTTTTGACAGGGAAAGTCTTCCTGCTCAAACTGGGCCCCTGGCCCCCAGGTTACAACAACAACGGCTCCCGCCTGAGACTTCGTTACGATTTAGCCAGGACCCCCGTTCCCGCCCGAGACGTGCTCGCATTTTACTCAAGAATCGCGCTCTCGCTTGGGACTTCCTTACAATTTATTCAGGAATCGCTCTCCCGGCGCTCTGGAGTCGCGCTCTCGCTGGAGACTTGCTTGCAACACTTACTGAAGAATGGCCTTGCGTTGGAATTTCCTGCAATTTGCCCAAGCGCCGCGCTCCCGACACCCAGGCACCCAGGAGTCGCGCCCGCTGTGGCCCCATGTGCATGCCCTTCGTGGCCCCGCTGTCGCCATTTTGTGTCCCCCTCACTGTCCTACGTGGCCCAGTTGCTACCCTCAGTGGCCCCATAGTTGCCTTTTGTGGCCCCGCATTATCTGCACTTCGTGGCCCCCGCTCGTTCGCGCTCTTCGTGGCCCCATACGCATTCCCTTCGTGTCCCCGCTCTCGCCCTTCGTGGCCTACTTCGTGCCCTTCGTGGCCCTGCTGTCGTTCTCTCTCGCTTTCGCTTTCGCTCGTCGTCGAAGTCGTCGTCGCCGTCGTCTTCGACGTCGTCGTCGTCGTCGTCGTGGTCGGTCCCCTGTCCGTCCCTCTTGGGGTCGGGTCGACGGTCCGCGGCCGCCCCGCCGATCAGCGCTGCCGTTGGCCTGGCCGACGGTCCGCGGCCGCCCCGCCGCTTGCCGGGGCCCGGCCTGCAGGGAAGAAAGGTATACCCCCCGAAAGGGGTTCGATCGAAGACGAAGAGGGCGGGTATCGAGGGTTTGGGAAATACGCGTTATTGGACACTCGAGCATAGAAGGGCGATCAGTCTTAAAATGATTGTTGTTGCTGCTGTTGTTGCTGTTGATGTTGCTTTTGTTGTGTTTGTTGTCGATGATGTTGTTGTTGATGTTGCTGCTGTTGTTATTGTTGTTGCTGTTGCTGGTGTTGTTGTTGTTGGTGTTGCTGTTGTTGTCGTTGGTGGTGTTGTTGGTGTTGTTGTTGGTGATGGTGTTGTTGTTGGTGGTGGTGACGTTGTGGTTGTTGTTGTTGGTGGTGTTGCTGTTGTTCTTGTTGTTGGTGTTGTTGTTGTTACTGTTGCTGTTGGTGTTGTTGTTGTTGGTGTTGTTGGTGTTGCTGTTGGTGGTGGTGGTGTTGTCGTTGTGGTGGTGTTGTTGGTGATGGTGTTGTTGGTGTTGTTGTTGTTGGTGTTGTTGTTGCTGTTGTTGTTGGTGTTGTTGTTGTTGGTGTTGTTGTTGCTGTTGTTGGTGGTGGTGTTGTTGTTGGCGTTGGTGGTGTTGTTGTTGTTGGTTGTGTTGGTGTTGTCGGTGTTGTTGTTGTTGGTGTTGTTGTTGGTGTTGCTGTTGCTGTTGCTGTTGTTGTTGTTGGTATTGTTGCTGTTGGTGTTGTTGTTGTTGCTGGTGGTGTTGTTGGTGTTGTTGTTGTTGTTATTGGTGTTGTTGTTGCTGTTGTTGTTGATGTTGTTGTTGTTGTCGTTGTTGTTGTTGGTGGTGGTGGTGTTGTTGTTGTTGCTGTTGTTGTTGTTGTCGTTGTTGTTGTTGTTGCTGGTGTTGGTGTTGTTGTTGTTGTTGGTGTTGTTGTTGTTGTTGGTGTTGGTGTTGTTATTGTTGTTGTTGTTGTTGTTGTTGGTGCTGTTGTTGTTGCTGTTGTTGTTGTTGTTGTTGTTGTTGTTGTTGTTGTTGTTGTTTGTTGTCGTCGTCCCCCCCGCGACCCACCCGTAACCCACCCCGCGACCCACCCCGCGACCCACCCGCGACCCAACCCGCGACCCACCCGTGACCCACCCCGCGACCCACCCGCGACCCACCCGCGACCCACCCGCGACCCACCCACGACCCACCCGCGACCCACCCGCGACCCACCCGCGACCGATCCACATAGGCTTGAAGAAAAATCGGCGCCTGCGGCGGGCTCGTTGCATAATTCGTGAAACTCTGGCGCCTGCGGCGGGCTCCTCCAGAGTCTCGTAGACTGCCGACGTCCCTCGGGAGCGGCCAAGAGGGGGGTGTCCAAGAGGGGGGGGGGGGGCAAATCATGACCGGCGGCATGTGCGCGGCCCAGCGGAGGGGCCAGGGACGTAATGAAGAAACAAGAAGAGGCGCCATGAGATCTGGGGAAATACCATGCCCCCCGCCATGGTATCCACCCTCCCCCTAGTCATCACCCCCCTCTTTGCCGCCCCCGATCCTCCTCCGCCTC